AGACGGTGAGAGGCAACCTCATCGCCATGTTTGTCGGCGACCTCGTTCGCGTGCTGCCGGCGGCGAGCAGCGGTGGCAACGGTCGGAGCAGCGCATGGAGACGTCGGCTTGACGGGGAGCTTGCGAGAGTACGAGAGGATCTAGATCCAGATCCCGCAACACATCACTTGTTGCGGTGGGGGGATTCCAACAACGACTTAGTTGCGAAAACTAGTTTAGGTGATATGTAGCTCCCGAGCCATATGATTAAAATCGATCGGATGACCATGGAGCCGGCGGACCCAGACTTTGTTATCGGTCAGGTGATTTGAATCATTTTCCATTTAATTTCTACACATGCTAATAACACTTGCAAAAAAAAAAATTCTCACAACCATCACGACATGGGCAGCATTAAGCACCGGCCGATCTGATGGACCCAAGCGCCAGATCGGTCCACGTCCACACCGTCCAATTGGACCAATGACAACAATTATATTTGGATCTTGTCCCTCGCACAAGTCAAATCTCTCCCTCTCTCATGGGTAGGTTGTTCCTCTTCTCATGAACACTCGATCTCGGGCAGAGAAAAGGGAGAAAAGCAACCCCGCATGTGGGTACCGCACACGCCACCGCATGGCAGGCCAGACAACAGTTACAACTTCATCGAACAAAGGTCGCCGCTCCGCTATCAACTGGTTGTAGCTTTCCCATCGCAACTACGCTTGCAACTTTGCTGGAAGAAAGGTTGCAGCTTCGCCATCAGCGGGTCACATCTTCCCGTCATAGCATCATCGGGCAGAGTCGTAGCAACCCTTGGTGGCCAGTTGTAGCTATGCCCAAGATCACTATGGACAGGCTCGGATACTTTCATGTTGATTGTTTTTACAGAGTTAGCAAGCTTTGACGTGAGAGACGAAGATTGTGGGTGGAGGAAGAATAAGATAACAAAAAGGGTAATTCAACTGCAAAAAAAGTCGATAATGTCACCTAATGTGCAAGAGGGTCCTAAAGGTATGTTATTGAACCATGAAATATGTATTGCCCTTGTCGCAATGCAAAGACAAATAAATAAGAAATATGAAAGATTATGGCTGAAACCACAATTCTTCTTTAGCATAATACAAATGTGGCTCATAAATCAAAACATCACCTGTGTTCTCGGCGCCATACTTATTAGAGGGGAGTGTGATGATTTTTTTTCCTGTTGCAACTCATGAGCATGTTTGCTATTATTAATATCAAGATGAATATTATGAATAACATTCAGTCTGGCATCGGCTGTACATAAGTCGCCTCAAAATTTAGGCTGTACATAAGTTGCCTCAAAATTAATTTTGGGTAAATGGATTTTCTGGGTCATTAGATTAAGATCCAATGATCATATTGTTACTTCTTCCTCCGTCTTTCTTACTCCTTCAACCGTCCTCCCACAAAATTAGCTTATTCAGATTGAAAATTCAGTCAACTTACATATATAACTATTATGAAAAAATAAAAACAAAGAGAGCCAATGCAGCTAACGACTTGCAAAAGACAGGTGGCAATGCACAAAATCTATGCATACAAATATGGGAGTACCTAGAACTCATCTAAATGAGACGTAATTTGGTCTCATTCACCTGGAAAACAAGAACGGATACAACCCACGTCAGCACACACGCATCTTATAGCACCACATCCAATGGCTATAAAAGGTGAATGTGACCAAATTAAATCTCATCTAGATGAGTTTTAGCAAAACTGTACAAATATTCTTCATATGTAAACCTAGACATAACCCTATATATATATATAGGCTCATTCCCGTAATATCTACTCTGTTTTCTCCTCGCGCAGTTCATCTTGTCCCGTCGCTGGTTCCTCTGTACTGTATGGCGGAGGCTTTTTGTACTCCGGCGACGATGGCCGATATGCTGCTGGACTGGCGCTGTCCCACCCAAACAGAACTGCCGGGTTGTAGTATGCCGGCGATTGTGGACTGTAACAAGGTACAGAGGGCGGTTGATATACCGGCGACGTTGGACTGTATACCGGCGAATATGGGCTGTATACCGGCGATGTTGGGCTGTATACCGGCGATGTTGGGTTGTATACTGGCGACAGACCATAAGCCGGATACTTGTTCATCGCCTCATCGT